AAAGACTACATCTCTGGTGACATATTTTTTCTTGGAGACAGGATCATAACACTTATACCCCTTTTGTGTAGGAGAGTACCCAAAAAAATATTCCCTTCGTAGCCTTGGGATCTAGCTTGGTTTTCTTTGGATCCTTCACATGTATGAAGCATGTACAGCCAAAAACCCGTGGAGGAAGGGGAAATTCTGGAAGAGTGGGACACAAAACAGAGAAAGGAGTCTTCATACTTGATACCTTAGATGGCATCCGATTTATCAGGTATGATGCAGTAAGTATAGCTTGAGACCAATATTGCTTGGGCACTTTGTGCTGGAAWAGTAGGGCTCGAGCTGTCTCCAATAGGTGCCTGTTCTTGCGCTCAACAACCCCATTTTGCTGAGGGGTGTAAGCACATGATTGGTGTAACATGCCTGCATCTTCCATGAATGAGTTCAGGGATCTTTCAAAGTATTCAGCTGCATTGTCCGATCGGAATTGCTTAATCTTCTTCTCAAATTGTGTTTCAATCATCTTGCAAAAAATCATGGTTATCCATGGAACTTCATCACGTCCTTTTAACAGATAAATCCAATTGCACCGAGAATAATGGTCAATAAAATTGATAAAGTAACGGAAACCATCAATGGAAACCATGGGTGAAGGTCCCCAAACATCAGAATGAACCAAATCAAAAGGAGCTCGAATTTCATTACTAGAAATTGGATACATTGTTCTACATTGCTTTGACATCTGACACACATCAGAAATTAAACTTTGACTTGGAATTCCATTACATAATTCGGGAAACAACATTGCTAAAGAAGAGAAAGACACATGACCTTGCCTAGCATGCCACAAGTGCAACCTAGCTATTGACTCCACACTATCCGGACTAGTAGTAGAAGAAGCTTGTAGGGCTAAGTTGATGTCTGCATCAAAATAGTAGAGGCCCCCATACTCAAGACCACTCCCAATCGTTCTCCTCGTCAATCTGTCCTGGAAAACACAATGAGAGGGAAAAAAAGTTATACTACAGTTCAAATTTTTTGTAAGCTTTGAAACAGACAACAGATTTGAGGTAAGACTAGGAACATGTAGGACAGATTTAAGAGAGAGATCCTTGCTTAGGTCAACCACCCCCTTTCCAGAGATGGTGGAGAG